CATACATCTAAATCCGAAAAGATCCTTGACGAGTACTTTATTCCGCAGAAACATGTCAGCACCTGCTGCACTCACAAAGCTACAAAGCCCACTCAAGGAGCTTGTTACTGAGTCTTCGAAAGACATCCCTTCGGCTTTTGGACGAACTGAGAAAGATCAGGCCGAGGTTTCGAAGTGGATTGAGGATGTTGCTTCTGGTGTTGTTCCGAAGCCTGACGGTCTCAAGGTATGACAATTTCTGGGTCGAATGCAAGGAGGAAGCTGAGAGGATGTGATGCATGTAGGACCTTGATGCTCAATTGGTGCCCCGCACTTATATTGTTAACAATTACCTGACCGCCGCAGACGTTGCACTATACGGTGCTCTCCACCCTACTTTCGTACGTCCTTGAGATCTTAGTCTAAATACCAGCCAATTGACGACGTATCCAGTCTCAACTCCAACCTGCACAATATTATTCTCACCCTGCCCTCACACGATATTTCGATCACATCCAAACCCGTCCCCCCGTTCGCAAAGTAGCTGACTCACTCGCCCCAGCATTCTCCTCTGTCACTCTTGACCTCGAGAACACACCTCACCTCGAGCGTAAAGCTGAGGCACCTAAAAAGAAGGAGAAGGCCGCGAAACCCGGGAAGGACTCCGCCGCTGTTGAGTCGTCTGCTCCTGCGGATAAGGGAGAATCAAAGAAGGAAGCTGCTGCTTCCACAAGCAGCCCTCAACAACAAGCTCAAAAGAAGGAGAAGAAAGAGAAGAAGGAGAAGAAGCCTGCTGCCGAAGCAGGTACTGCCAAGAAGGATGCTGGTGGTAAGAAGGGCGGTGCTGCTGCCGCTGATGAGGGAAGTGGGGAGCCAGTGCCTTCCATGATTGACCTTCGGGTGGGCCGTATTGTCGATGGTAAGTCGTAGGCAAAACATGGGCTTGCATGCCGCACCTCTGACTGAACTGTTACTTCAGTGAAAGTGCATCCCGACGCAGATGGTCTTTACGTCGAGGTAAATGCATTTCTACTTTCAGGAAGAATTAGATTTACACAGAGAAACCTAGCAAATCGACTTTGGTGAGGAGACTGGACCTAGGACTGTCATCTCCGGCTTGGTGAAGTATGTTCCTATCGAGCAGATGAGGGATCGGTGGCTCGTTGGTGTTGTACGTATACACTAAGTTCCTACCGTCTCAATGTAACATACTGACTCGTTCTTAGTGCAATCTGAAACCCGCGAACATGCGAGGTATCAAGAGTTTCGCTATGGTCCTCTGTGTATGTCTTATTTCTACTTCATCAACCCGTTGAAGCGTTGCTTATATTCTCCATCTCAAACTCTTTCATTTAGGCAACGCATAAGGACGGCAAGGACGCTGGTATTGAGATCGTCCAGCCTCCCGAAGGTTCAAAGGTCGGCGATCGCGTCTACTTCGAGGGCCCCGAATACGAGAGTAAGTCGAACACCGTGCTGTAATTACTTCCGACCAGTACTGAATAATGTGTTCCAACAGACGCGACACCCCTTCCTCAGCTCAACCCTAAGAAAAAGATCTTCGAGACTATTCAACCAGGTAAGGCCCATTCTGACGTTGACACCGAAATGATGTTGACCGCGGACCCTTATTGGCAGGCTTCACTACTCTTGAGACTCGGGAGGCTGCTTGGGTGAACCCTGTGACGAAGAGCGTGCATAAAATCCGTACCACCCAGGGTGTTTGCGTGGCTCCTACGTTTGTCGGTGCCTCGCTTTCGTAGTCGCTGTATCAGAGTATAGAGTCTTGAAGCATTCGACGTTTGTAAAAGTACATATACCGAGCACATCGCAGCGAAGGCAATTGTCACAGGACTCCTTTGCTGTCGACAAGCTGCAGAAGGTGTCCGACAAATGCGAGAGTCCAAAGCAGCAAACTTTATGTTTGTGTAGTCTTCCACCGGCAGAAATAGACATGGAAATCCTTCACATACACCCTACACATCGGAAAACTCAAAAACCGTCTTCGGTGAATGCGAACAAAAGTCGAAGATAATTGAAATAGTGAATTTCAAACTGCGCCGACAAAAAGAAATCCCCAAAATATTTCTTTGAGTCGGCCCAGGTTCGAACTGAGGACCTTCTGTGTGTTAGACAGATGCGATAACCAACTACGCCACCGACCCCTTGAAAGTCAAGCAAAGTCAAGCAGTACGAATTGTGGCTGCTGTTGACCAATGGAGGTGTTTGACACCACGGGTCACGGGTCACGGGCTCCCAAGTTCCCGTCGACCAGGCCGTTATCTTGCCCTGGCCCTTCATATTCCCGCAATATAATCTCTCTTACCGACCACGTCGACTCCTTGCTGCAGAGTGGTCGCAACAGTCAATACTCTCAGTAGCCTCGTATCCCCACCCATAGATATACTGGATTCCCTTCCCCAGATCGACCTGTCTAGCACTGTAGACCCGGTGAATACACCTAAAGAAGTCTACACATTACTATCTTTACTCCAAGTCCCTATAAGCCTATTCTAGCATCTCGTTACACTCTCCATGCATTCCAGTAATGGACATTCTATTCCCCCTCCTCCGCTCTTTAGTACTGTCCGCATCGTCGGGCTTTTATCGTCTCTCCTTGTCGCACTCGCTTCTGGCACAAACTATGTGAGCAACCCCACAAATTCTCATACATGCTATCTAAATCGACCTCACTTGACTGCTATAGGTCTTCTCTGGTGAGCCGAAGGTGTGACGCGGGGAGCACTACCCTTGTGCTGATTATTGGTGTTCCTCACGTGCATAGCCTATGGTCCTCAACTCAGTGCCCGCCTGAAATTGTCGCATACGCAGCTTAACGTGGTCGGCCTGGCAGGGAACAGCACGTATCCCTCGCTCCCCCTTCGCTGTCACTTGAGGCTAACGTCGCGATGTTTGTAGTCGGTGTGTACGGCACAGCACCGTTGTGGGGCAAACTCGTGGATGCACGTGGCCCCCGCGTTCTCCTGGTGATAGGATTCGTTTCACTACTTACAGGTTACCTTGGTATCCGACATTTCTACGATACCGGAAAGGATGCCGGTTTAGCTACTCTGTGCGTTCTTATATTCTGTAGCTTCCTTACCGGTATTGGTGGGAATGGCGGTCTGGCAAGCGCTATGAATGTAACTGCGAAGAGCTGGCCTGATAGACTTGTAAGTCATTATCTCTCCATCGACTCAAGTATTGTTTATGAATCTCTGCGTATCGCTTATGGCACACCTTCTGAAATTACTAGAGGGCCACAACGACCGGTCTTGTCATCTCAGGTTTTGGCCTGTCAGCATTCCTCTTCTCGACCATCGCACATGTCGTTTACCCAGGTGACACCTCCGAGTTTCTACTCTTATTGGCTATAGGAACATCGCTCCCCATGATCTGGGGCTTCTTCTTCGTCCGCCCCATACCTCTACCTCACGCAGAAGCCACACATATTCTCGAGCACGGACACGGACACGGCTATGAGGAGATTGGTCGCGACGACGAAGACGACAGTGAGCCTTCTCCTGTATTCGCACGGGGAAATAACAGTAGGACACATTTGCTCAAGTCAGATGACGTCCTTGAGGAAGTCGAAGAGGAAGAGATCATGTTGCATCGCGAGAGACGTCCTTCGAACGAAGAAGGGCCCCCTACGGCTTCGGGACTGCATACTTCTGAGGCTTCGGACTTCGTCGTTCCTGGCTCGGCGGGATCTGTTGCGCTTGGTGCCACGAGTCCGTCGAGGAGTCGACATCGGTCAAGGAGCGCATTTAGTATCTCTAGACGGAGTGTCGGGAGCAAGCATAAAGGATTGAGTATCAATGCTTTGCCGAATATTAGAGGAATGGCGTTAGCTATTTCACAGAACTTTTGGTTACTATTTACGATCACCTCGTTGCGTGCGTACATTTGAATCGTCCGTTCGTATCGTACATTCCGCCGCTGACATTAACTTGCAATGAAGTCAGCGGAACAGGTATCATGTGTACGTCCAACAGTATAGTGTCATACGATGCGGCGGAGACTCAAGCTTCTACATTCTGACAGACATCAATAACGTCGGCTCGATATCGCAAGCTCTTTTCGCCAACGGCAACACAGACTACGACGAAGTCAAAGCAGCTCAACTGCAAGCTCTCCAAGTGTCCACAATCAGCGTGATGAACTGCGTCGGCCGAGTAATGATTGGTCTCATCGCGGACGCCACGAAGCATCATCTCAAGTTACCTCGATCGTTCTGCATGTCCCTCGTGTCGACGCTGTTCATTATCGCTCAGGTCGTTCTGTATAACACGGACAGCGCTGAGGAGTTGTGGAAGGCAAGTGCCTTGCTTGGACTCGCGTATGGGAGCTTGTTCGGTTTGTTCCCGACGATCACTATCGAGTGGTTCGGCCTGCGTGAGTACCTCTCGCAATTCTGTGAGCCTATCGAACCATGAGCTATCTGCTAACCAACTTCCTCTTCATTGTACCCGCATACGACAATCAGCTCATTTCTCAGAGAACTGGGGCTTCGTCTCACTCTCGCCTATGATCGGCGGTAACATCTTCTCCATCGCATTCGGAGCGAACCTCGATGCCCACGCTACACCTCCCGCATCCCCTGAACACACTTCCTTGACTTCATCCCTCATCCAGAGTCGCGCAGGCTTGCCTTCAGACCATCAATGTCTGGATGGTCGGGTTTGTTATGTGGACAGTCTGAAGTTGACTATCGGGGCGTGTTGTCTCGCTCTGATTCTTTCTGTCTATGCGGGATGGAGAGATAGAGATATTGAGGGGACGTGGAGGGGTCGGGCGTATGAGAGCGAGAGTGAGGATGAGGTCTTATTTGAGGGGGATGAAGACTAGTGCGATTTTCCTTTTACTTGGGTTTTGTCATTAGACCGGGCCATAGGCTCTTTCTGCTTAGATGTAATATATGTATGGTTTCTCTCCCTTCTGCGAATATAGTACAGCAAACAAAAGCCAACACACATAAGTAAAAAGAAAGCGGAAAACTTGTTCCTGAAAAAAATTGTCTGCCCCAGTGAGGCTCGAACTCACGACCTTCCGATGTTCATAGGAAATAACAGTCGGACGCTGTAACCAACTCAGCCATGGGGCACATGATATCCAGCTTATACGTGCCATTCTGGTCGCTTCTTGCTCGTATGGCCGCGCGGTTCAGACGTTCATACCTACGTTCCATGCAGCTACCACCATACAATCCACATACCGGACCTTACGGGGAATATCCATATATACGTGAATAGCAGTACATGCCTCCTCCCTCAGCTTAGCCAGGGAACAAAAGCGGAGGCTCAATACAAGAGCGGCTTGACAACGGCTCGAACTGTGCATACCTGATAGATTCGGAGAGTAAGTATCCACTCCAACAATGAGTTTCTCCGTCTCAAAATTCGAAAACTGCGCAGTCTTCCAACTGCGGGAGCTTGATGAAAAAACGCGATAATGATGGAAAGAGCTGATAGAGCCTAGGAGAGCCTTTGCTGGTACATCGGACTCGGACTCGGGCTCGGAGCTTGGGATGGGGAGCTTAGCAGATGAGAAGGCGAGGAAATGAGGGCGCGAGATGAATTGCTGACCCGTGAAGGCCCGAAACTTGAAAGAGGGTAGAGACCTAACTCTCTACCGTCCTTGGCACAGGTAAGCTTAGCAAGATAAAGCTTCAAAGAAGCTTCATACCAGATGAACGCTCAAAACGTACAAGGAACATGCCGAGTATACTTCATAGACAAGACGTGCTTCGGTCGAGACCGTGACTGCATCGATGATTGCTCAGCATTCATACAACTAACATCTAACATCTTGAAGTGACACGGTCTGGATTATGACTAGGAAAATAGGAAGCTGAGAGACACGTGAATGAGATGGCGCGAATCTCACCTACTCGGAACTTCCTCTCGACCCGACCCGACCTAATCTTCTCCTTTTTCTCTTTAAGGTCTCAAACATTCGTATCAGGGTCACTGACAGTGACAAGGATCCGAAGTTGATGGTCCTATCTGAAATGCGTCACTTACTAATTCAGATGGAATGGCTAAGGATAACCAAGTAAGTAGACGTATACGCAGTATCAACGGCAGCGACTCGACCCTGAGTCCCATCGCACAAATGCCGCAAGAGTCAACACCGAGGTAGATTTCTGAGTTCTTAACGCGCCGATGCCGCAGTGCAGTGCAGACGTTGAATCCTGTCCGAGTTTCTCCGCGTCACGGTCGGTTCGTCGGTAACTAAATATTAATGTCAATGTCATGAGCAGGGCCACGTACCTTTCCTCCGTACAATACAGAACACACGAGAATGCGCTTTTTGCGCGTCACGTACATGAAAGCACGGCACGTCGACGTCAACGCGTACGTGTCTATACGTGCCAGCGGGTCCTATACGCACCCTACATAGGTCCTATTATAGCTATGCGGGTCAAAGCTGTACGAGACCACACAGGAAATCCTAGGAGCCACGTACAGCCGACTTACATTGTTCTAACGAGGTTTTCCAGTGAGCATTCTATAACGCACTGGTATTGTAGCTCTGGAAACAGGACAGCCTCCCATCAACCTATAGCGCAGTGGTTTTCCAGCGACCACGGTTGTCAGTATAAGTTCGAAGTTGAAGCTGAAGTTCCCGCCATGCTGCATCACGTGACTGTGATATTATTAAACTCCGTGATCGTCGCAACACCCGTATAAGGCAAGTCCTGTAATCGTGCGCTTCCCGTCTTCTATCCCTTCAAGCGGACCCAAGTCGCGTCGGCGCCGAGCAAGTACGCAGCTTCTCTTCAAGAGTCTTAAGATAACCTGCTCGGCATCTGAATCTTCTTAGGTGTCGTACGATGTTCATTCATAAGTAGTAGATACGCGTGGCTGTCATATAGTAGGTATCCTCATAATAGGGCATAATGCGAGCTGTTATACAGGCGGGGGATTCTATCGCATACAGAGCGGGGGGTATCAAAGGGAAGTAGAAGGAATAAAATGTTGAGACACGGTTATGAACAAAAGGGGAATATTTGGTTTGATAAAAAAGGGGGTATATCAATGGAAGTGAGCTAGTAATGGGGAGTTATGCAAATGGGGAGAATATGCGAAGTCGAAGGCGAAGGTTAAATGCAGGTTTTAGGATAAGATGAAATCAGTCCATGCTGGTCAAGTCCGTGAGATGATATATGCTACAAGAAGGGTGATGCGACACGTAAACCGAGGAGCGAGGCGTGAGGAGCGATAGGGCGTGATTGATATCGTAGAGAGGAGGTATATGCAGGTATATGCGGGTGTATGCGGGCGGAGAAATTTGGGGTAGTCGGCGACGTTCACCGAAGGAGCAGGATAAGTTCGCCAGGTTTGATTCCCGGTGACAGTCCTGCGAATGATAACCTCTTCATCAAGAAATCAACCCGTTTTAGGCCCTTCCGCTGCTCTTCTACTCGCGCCCCAGGGTCCGAGATCTTTGCGTAGCGGGCACGGTACGCGTCGTATGCTCCCCGCTCAAGCTGGGGTTGTTCCCGGCACGCTTGCTGGAACTCCTTCTCTGAGACCGGTAATCTCAGGTTACGGTAGAGTGTGTAGAGGAGGTCGCGCACTGTGACTGGTGCATGTGGGTTGGAGTTGTCAAGGGGGACAACCTCGATCTTCCAGGGGTACAGCTCGCTGCGGAGGACGAGCTTGGACGTCGGCGGCTGGGTAGCGGGCTGGAAGAGTGTTTCTGGTGAGAGCGCATATTTGAGTGGTGATCGAGGGTCTAATGGGTTCGGTGCGCGGATGCTGTCTGGGTGTAGAGACACATTCCAGACGAATGGTACTGTCTGCCGCGCATATGACGACGAGCAGAGCAGGGCGTGAATTGCGACGGGCGAGTAGAGAGATAGCGGCGACGGGGTGCGGACATGGCCGCGAGCCCGGCCGGGGGATACGGTCAAGTGCGCATCATTGGGCACGGTGGTCGGCCAGGTCGGCGGGGTGCGAAGTACAGGGGACGACGGCGCCGACGAGTTCGAGTACGACGGGGAGGGGGTGCGGGGGATGTCGAAGTGGACGTGCTTCTTGTTCGGCATTGTGCACGACGAAGCTGGCTGCGGTTGGTACTTGTGTGGGGGATGCAGCTGGAAGTGCTGGCTGGTGGTGTCGTTGTCGGGGAACGAGGTAAAGATGTGTGAAGGGAAACCGACGCAGTTATATAGCAGTCGGGAGCGACGCGTTACTTCGAAGTTCGCCCAAGAGGGGGCGATCGATCACGAGCTGTGAAGGGAAGCGTGACAAGCGGAAGTGCTGTGCGAGCGAGGGGTTACTCCCGCTCTAATATTTCCTGTGCCCACATATCGTCGAAGCAATGAAGAACATATATTGTACCTCAGCGTCAATGATGGTCCTTGAACTGACTAGGTTGGAATGCGGTGAGACTCACTGCACTGCCGCGGGTCCCGTCGCGAGGAGTGCGAGTCAGTAGCCGCCGAATTTGCCGTCAAGATCACTGCAAATCCTTGGTTGGCGGAGTGCGGGGGGCAACTGGTGACCACAGTGAATCATTCGCGGCTTGCTGCCCATGACCAACGTCCGCACGGATCCATGATGCGTAATGACTCGAAGGGAAGGTCCCAGCATACATTCCCCCGGTCCTTTTCTTATCGAAAGGCAAAGCCACAAATCCTAGTACACCAGCGCGTTTTCGGTTCCGGCCATCAGGCCTGGGCGTATCTCACCTTTGATTCCCTCTTCGGGAAAGACTGCGCACTTTGTTGGAGACATTGTCCAAGGACAGGAGGAAAAGAGAGCCATCCCATCCCGCCCGTCCACAGCGCATTCCCAGCGTCGGGCGGCTCGAGAACCAGCGATACTTGAATTGCTCCTCCCATAAAAGGCAATATAGCGCCCGCGAATTAGTTCGCAGTTAACACCAAGCGCTTTTGCCACCAAGCAGCTCAAGCTTGCCACCACCGTGTAACGTCCCACAACTGGCTTGGGTTGGCCAGCCATGCTTCCTCGACCACCACCGCAGCTGCTTCAGTCACTGCGGTCATTCAGCACAAGTGCTTCCCGTCATGGAGGTTTCATTTCCAACGTCGGCAAACAACCCATCCAATTCCCTCCGTCGGTAGTCCTCACACCAACCCCGACTGCTCTCTCGGTCAAAGGACCCTTGGGAACGACCGAGGTTCCCCTTCATCCTTTCCTCAAACTCAACTTTACTGAGCCTCAGACGCTTGCCGTGGCAGTAGAGGACCCGACCGAAAAGAAGCAACGGTCAATGTGGGGTCTCACGCGTACCCTCATATCTAATGCCATTCAAGGCATGACCGAAGGTTTCACGACCCCGATATACCTCGTCGGTGTCGGCTACCGTGCCGCATTGGAAGACGACCCGAGAGGGAAGCTGCCAGGATTCACTGGGAAGCGTCTAGCCATGAAGCTTGGCTTTTCGCATTCGGTCTATGTCCCTATTCCCGACTACATCAAAGCGGAGATTGAGACGGCGACAAAGATTGTGGTTAGTTGCACGGATAAGCAGAAGTTGGGTTTGTTTGCGGCGAAGGTTAGGAGTTGGCGGCCTCCAGAGCCATACAAGGGCAAGGTATGTTTTGTCATTCATCGCTTGTTGTTGGTGTCCGGTTGGATTTCTGAACTTTGCCCGCTTCTCTATTAGGGTATCTTTGTTGGGAACGAGAGGGTCCGAAGAAAGACCGTCAAGAAGAAGTAGCCTACACGCAATATAATTCTACTCGTCATTGCTCTGCTAAAGTTCCAGGTCCCTGAGGCGGTCAATCCAAGACGTTCGCATGCGTCTACAATCTATTGTGGTCTTCAAAACCTTATAATCCAGATCCACCTCTCTTCTATCGTAGCGCTATCAAGTTTGTCCTGGGCTAAACGTGGCTAGCGCTACCACTATCCTTTGGGATACGCAGCCTACGGCTCGCTTGAAGTTCCGTTCAATAGCGAACCAAAAACTATCTCCACCTTACTCTTCCTTCTGAATGATACCTGGACCCGTAAGTTCACTCTGGCTATGTACTTGGACATCCAACTCTGGTCTTGCACTGCAGTCCAATTGCTACCCTACAACGTCGAATGGAACCGAAAACTATCGCTGTGTAGTTGGACGTTAAAC